CTGTCCGTAAGAAAAATGCAAAGGGTAGTATGAATATTGTTTATAAAAAAAAAAGTGGTAGTATTTACAAAGGCGGTAAGCTTATAATTTATGGGTAAGTCTTTGAACACTTTAATAATAATTGCTCTTGAACTCACTGTTATTGGAAATTAAAAAAAAACACTATTATTCAAGCAAATAGTGACGATTAAATAAAAAATAAAAATTATCAATTGTGGTTTGAACGTTTGGTCCATCCACATTGGTGAGGTTTAAATTATTAAATTATCATAAAAAAAAAAAAAAAAAAATAGAGATCGAGGACTTAGGGCGCAAATCGATCAGGTTATACAATGAGTATTTATGTGGAGCGTGCATAAACAAGCGCGACTTCCATTTCAAAAACATTTTAGGTACTGTTTGTGCATGAATTTACTTACTATTGTGTAACATATTTGATGAGTCATAAGTCATATGAATTTTGTATGTTTCAAGATTCAGTTGCTGAAAGTGGGGCACATTTCAATTTACAGATTTTCAATGTATTCTGTGACAATGAAGGTGTATATCTAGCTACAGAAATGAGAGATTTTTGGTATGCAAAAAGATAAGTCATCATTTGACAATTCCATGAACCCCAGAGATTAAATGATGCAGCTATATAAAAAAAAAAAGTTGGAGGCAGTTTTAACTGCAACATTCTCACTTAGTTTGACCCCTCTAAAACTTTAAAAGAATTTGAAACACCATACGAAATGTGGCGTAGTAAAAAGCCTCAAGTAACATATTCATGTGTTTGGTTCCATAATACCGTTTATAAGTACATAAAACCCAGGAAAACAAAATTTGATATCAAATCCTGGAAAGCTGTACTGGTTGGTTATGAACCAAATGAACATGAAGTGTGGGATGTAGATAATCATAAGTTTGTTCTAGTTAGGGATATTATTGTGGACATAACAAATTGGTTTTTGTCCTCCAAGCCTATTAATCTGCATAAAGCTGATTCCTCTGACTATTTATCAAGAACAGAAGTTAATAATAAGCTAAAAAAAGTGAATGTAGAACACTTTGATTATAAAGCTGATACCTCTGACTATTTGTCAAGAACAGTAGTTAATCATAAATTTCAAAAAGTAAATGCAGAACACTTATTATGGTCATAAAGCTGATTCCTCTGACTATTTGTCGAGATCAGTAATTATTACTAACAAGCTTGAAAAAGTGAATATAGAACACTTTATTTGTAAAAGCTGATTTTTCTGACTGTTTGTCAAAATCAGTAGTAACTAATAAGCTTGAAAAGTAAATGTTTAACTTTTATGGTCATAGAGCCAATTTTTTCTGACTGTTTGTTAATATCAGTGGTTAGTTAATGATGTTTGAAAAAGTGAATGCATAATACTTTGGTGATGAAACTGATTCCTTTGACAGTTTGCCAAGATTGCTGGTTAATAAATCTGATAAAGCAAAATCAGATGGCCAACCAATCCAAGAAAGTAGCTAACTGTTAACCCACAAACTTATCAAACTATATAATGAATGATTATAGTAAATCTGTGGTTAAAACAGATCTGCCAAATGATATTCATTCAGTTTCCACTATAATTACGATTCCCAAAGTAGTTAAATTAAAATCCTCTAGTGAATTACATCCAATAAATTTGTTTCGCACTATTGACAAAATTTTGGAGAAAATAGTGTATATGCCACTTGTTGAGTTTATAGGTAGATAGAAATAAACTATTCAGTGATTTTCAATCAGGGTTTCGAGTAAGTCAATATTAGTAGTTGATAGTGATTATGAAAAAGTGAATGTGAAACACTTTGATGATAAAGCTGTTTCCTCTGATTGTTTGTCAAGATCAGTAGTTATTAATGAACTGAACTGAACTAAACTGGAAAAGTGTCAAAAATTAATGTAACACTTTGGTAATTAGCCTATCCAAAACACGTGACTTTGACAAGCAAACAAAGGGTTTGTGTGCCTCTTGGCGGACATTTTAATTTGAGTTCGACAGCATCTTGGATAGTCTAATAAAACCTTTCCCCTGAAAGTGGCAATTTGTCAAGATTGGTGGTTTAATTATTAAATCTGATATAGCTAAATCAGATGAGTAACAATCCAAGAAAGTAGGTAAATGTTAACCCTAATAAACTCATTAAACTAAATAATGAGTATAGTAAATCTATGATTAAAACAGATCTGCCAAATGATATTGATTCACTCATTATTGGTAAATAAAACGTAGTCGTTAGTATCAAGACCCGAATATAAAAATATAGTGGATTGTAAATGGATATTTTCCATTGAAAATGATGAAATTGGAAAACCATTTAGATGCTCGTGGTTTAAGTCAACATTACTTGGTAGATTATAATGAAATCTTTGCACAGGTGGCGAGAATCGTAGGTTTCTGGTTTATAATAACGTTTTTAATCAGTTTATCCTTTTAATACATCATATGGATGTAAAACCAGCTTTTCCGGATGGGACATTGAAGGAAGCCATTTTTATGAAGGTTCCTGAAGGCTGAAGGGTAGCTGGCTCAAGGTGTGACAAGTAAACCTCCTAACCAAGTTTGCAAGGCTTTGTATCTATGAACTAAAACAAACCACTAGATGTTAGTTTGCAATAATAGTAAAAGTTCATAAAGAAAATGGGTTTGAAAATTCATCAGTTAACCACTGTATTTATATCTTAGACAAAGGTGCAATATGTAAAATTATTTATGTAGTTCTGTAGATGGTATTTGCCACTGCAGATAATAATACATTGAATAGTTTAAAAAGGGATTTGGCAAATAACTGTTCTATGTTTTATTTGAAAGACAGTAAACTATTTTTGGGTAATAAAATTAAAAGGTAATCAAAAATAAAATTATCTACTCTTGATCAATTTTCATATAGGTACAGTTCAAATGTACATGAAAACTATTTTACATAAATTTAATATGAATGACTGTTGTGCCATCAGCTGTGTCAGCACTCCACTTCCTAGTAAACTGAATTTGATTGGTTTAAATTCAGAAGTAGAACATGATAGCCCTTGCCGGAATCTAATCGTCTGTTTAATGTATATTATGTCATGTATATCAAGCCTGATTTAAGTACCACTGTTAATATTTTGAGCAGGTATTAAAACAAGAATAATAAAGAGTTTTGGCAATATTTGAAAAGGGTGCTTAGATATTTTAAGGGTAAAATCAATGTGAAGTTGACACAATATTTTACTTGTGAATGTATCAATTTCTTGAGTGATTCTATTAATCTTGACTAGGAAGGTGGAGATGATAATATAAACAATATAAAAGCACATCAGGATATTTATTTAAACTGTTTGAAACTTGTGTGATATGTTGGAATACAAAAAGGCAGTTGTCAGTAACGGCATCATCTACTGAAGCCGAATATATGGTTTTTCTTTTTGAAGAGGAACTTTGGTTAAAATCATTAGCAGAAAATATGCATAAACATTAATATCAGAGTCAATGGACCTTTCTCATTTTACCTGTGCTGCGCGCGCATCTTGTGGGTGACAGATAATTAAATCGTCAATTTACTGAACACGGTCTGACCCTGACGTATTTAAGCTAACCTCAATAATCAATCATATCAATCAATATTGCTGAAAATTATTACAAAAACTGTTTATGATACAATGGTTCAAATGAGTTGAATGAGTTCTTGTCAGAATTAGGCGAAAAAGAAGTCAAACCTTTCTTTTCACAAGTTCCCAAGCAATCAAATTGTAAGAAAACAATAGTTAGGTACGTGCTCTCAACCCGAATGAAGACGATTTAGGTTGGGACAGAGATTTGAGGGTTCGTAAAATAACGATTTTTATATCAATCATAGTTAGTTTGTTATCAAATACAATAATAATGTACAATTAATTAAAGGTTTGCTGCAAAGTTTCTAATTAATGTTAATACGTATTTTGTCATATTTACGTTTAAAAATAAACAAAAACAGAAACATAACCGAAATTGCACAATTTGACAAGTGGAACCAATCAAAGTCATTCCACACAGGTATCGCGCGTCATTATATGTGTCTCTTTCTTTATTGCAGAAATCTTAATAAACTATCCTTGTTGTTCATTGCATGAGAAAGGTCTATTATTACCTAGGAGGACAACAATGGACCTCAATAAGTATTACAAATAATCCAACAAATCACAAAAGATCAAATCATATTGAATCGATCGTAATTAATATAATATATTAATTTGTCCACAGATAAACCACTAGCAGACATGTTTACCAAACCATTGATGCAAGTGAAATTTGAGAAATTAGAATGGAATTAGGATTAGTAAATAAGTTTAATGGTTTGATTAGGTTTTTCTGGGTTTTCCCTAATCCCGAGCAGCAAATGCTGGACCGTTATAGTAATTTTCCCCAGAAAAGACACACATAAGGAAAGCAGGCCTATTTATGTTATACTAGGTTTAAGTTGTATTACACTTTTAGTATAATTGATCAAATTTTTGAGGTGGCGTGTTGGATAAACTGATATTTATATTAGTGAAACAAAAATTAATAAATTAAACTTTGATTATTAGCCTATACTTTGCTAATTTATATCGCAGCTATGGATGACTGAATGTATTTATAATAGTTTTTATATGTAAGATAAACAGATGAGGAATCGTTTACTTAAGAAAGGGTTTGTAATTCTTTGTCTTGATGTTGAGTCAGTTCGTATAGTTATTTCTACGAGTTCACACGCTCTGCTTTCCACTCTGTGTTCGATATAATAAGTATATTGAATATCGATAATTAACAAGTTCTTTTATTTCTTAGTCCATTTCCCAACATTGATTTTGACGATAACGATTTTGAAAGAAGAATAACTCTTTGTTAATTTCTTCTTTCAAAATCGTTATCGTTAAGTTCTTGATGTAACTGAACATGATAGCGATAAAATTTATTCTTTTTTAGAAATTTTCCTATAGAGGATTTCTTTATTTCTAAGTCCTTACTCACTTGTCTAACACTAATTTCCAGATTTTGTACCCACCGCCAGGGTGATTGCGAATTCGTTTTCTTCCTTTAAAACCGTTTTGGTTCTGGTTTTCTTTTCGTACGCTACGCTTCCAGTACGCTCGAATCGTTCTTTTAGATTTTCCAGCATTCTACCATCAGGATGTCGATTATTTGTAAATTTTTGTGCATAAACTCGTGAGGCCAAAAACCAGTACCCTATGCATTCACCGATAATGTAAATCATATTTACTAAATCCTGCTGAGAGTAATTCATTTTCACAAATTGCAATTAGGCTGGTTTTTATTTATTTATGAATGGCACCCGATGGCAACGAAACGATTATCAAATAATTAAACGCCAAACTGACATACGTAACATGATAAAAAAATCTCTGAATCATGGCCACCTATTAAATTGGATAAGAAAATTTTTACAGTGGACTATATTGGAAGAGCTAGTGCAAAACAAAATGTATTTTTATCTTTTTTTATACAAGCTCATTGGAAACGACAAGAATACACTCAGTGCGCACTAGCCCTTCTACTGGAGTTTGCTATTAAATGAAGCTAGCATCATCCAGGCATTGATATTACTTGTTACTCTTACCTCTTACTACTAAGTGCGGATTTAACGCCACTGGATTTTTTTTTTTGTAGGGAACCTTTCAATCCGAAGTCTATCGTTTTGCGCCCACAACAAGGGAAAATATGGTAGAGCGTATTCAAGAGTCCTTTAAGACGTATAACGCCTGCATCATTATTATTATTGGGTATATTAATTATTTAATAAAATATTTTTTAAGTAAATTTTTAAACTTATTTATTTCCACTAATTGGTAATAAACTTTTTACATGTTTCGCTACACTGTAACTTCATCAGAAAGATTTTTAGAATTTTTTGTAGACATAAAAGTGAAATTGTCAATTATAAAGAAGGTGAAAGTTGGTCTAATTTATTATAATCTTAATAGGTATTATACAATAAATAAATTTAAAAGTGGTGAATTGTTTAAATCTAATTGGTCGCTCAGTAAACAATCTATATTTTTAAGTTTGTTTATTTCTAGAGATTCAACAAGATTTAATTTTATCCCTTTGTTTTCATTATGTAACATTTGAAATTCATTATTAAAATTATGATTTGATTTTATTAGGCGATTTGCATAATTTGAGTTTGTTTTCTTTTTATTGAAACTATTTTGTAATGTTCTTTAATTCTAGTACCAAAATTTCTACCTGTTTGTCCTATATATACTTTAGGACAATCTTTACAAGATAATTTATTTAACTCCAGATTTATTACATATTTTAGTTTTAGATTTATTTTTTTTTTAAATGAAAGCCTAATGTATTGTTAGTTTTGAAAGCAACATTTGATCGTGTATTGAAGTTTGGCTTAAACTTATATCAAATGAAAGCCCAATATCTCGTTGGTATGACCCAGAAGAGTAATTGAAGTGACGATCAGCTAAGGTTATGTCATTTGGAATATTTTAATTATCAACTTCGAAACTATTTTGTGGCAAATTGTCAGTTATTCGATCTATAATTGAAAATTTTAAATTAAATGCAATATTATTTACTTTGGAATGCATTTTAGTTTCAACAGATTTCTTGATATGTGAAGTTACATTATTTATACCAATTATTGGAGTATTCACTTTAATATACGGTAATTTCAATTTTTTAAACAATTGAGTTGACATGAAATTTGTTTGAGAAGCATTATCAAGAAGTGCTATGCACAAAACAGGCTTATTTTCATGATCCATTATAAAAACTTCAGCAGTAGATAATAAAGTTAAACTATTATATTTACTGTTAAAACAATCAACAGGTATTTCTGACTCTGGATTTATATTCTGACAACAAGCCAAATTTGAAGATTGGGTTTGTGAACAATGAGCAAGGTCATTTGAATTAGAGCTTCCAACTGAATTTTCAGTCTTTTTATTATTGTTATTAGATATTAGGTGCAATAAAGTATGGTGTTTTTTATTGCACTTGTTACTAGTTTTAGTACTTGAACAAGATCGATTGTTATGGCCTCGACGGAGATAGTTTGTACATAAATTCAACTCTCTGGCCTTCTCCAATCTTGAGAAAGAACTCAATTTTAGAAATTCATGCTCATTATTCTTACACAAAATACAATAAAATTTTTGAGTTACAAGATTAACTGATTTATTCGACCTTTTGTTATTGATATTATGATTTATATAATTATTATCCAAATATTTACTATCGATTGATTCCAACAACAAACATCTGTCAGTTAAAAACTTAATAAAATTATCAATTTCTGGTGAAACAATATCCTTTGTTTTAATTTCCCTTTCTCGCTTGGTGGATATGTCCATTTTTGATATTAGCAAATAAATAAGCATGGAATTACATGCATTTATGGGCTCCTCCAAGTTGAGTAGACACCTATAATGCTTTTGAAAAGTATCTAAGAAGTTGCGCAAAGCTAAATGACTTTCTTTTTGAATATGAGACCAATCAAAAATGCTTTTAATATGTCCACGAACGGCTTGTTTTTTGTTCTCGTATCTTTTAGTTAGCAAATCTATTGCTATTAAATAATAGTAACGATAAACGTAAACGATATTGAAATATCTCGAAAACTGTGAGGAATTTTATGGAACAAATACTTAAGGTTTTTTTACTCAGCACCTCTTCTATAACCCCGTGTAGTTTGCACCATGACCATGGCTCATGAAACACCATGTAAGTATTAAAAAAAAAAATGTTTCAGAGGAATTATTGTTGAGAGTCAGAAGAACATTTACTCAAATTATTCATTAAATTTAAATAAACTGAACTAACAGAACTTACTTAACCTACAAACCTTTTTTATTTAGCATACATTAAGTTAATTTGAGTACAAAAATCTTTTGGAACTTGGAACTGGACATCTTTAGACAAAGGTAGGTCCCTTTTTTCGTTCGAAGCACGTTTCATTTTATTGTTGTCCCTATCTTTGGCTTAGGCATCGCTCGTGCGCGCTCATGCGTGTATTTTTTATTCAATATTTGTTTTGTTTTTTTTATTTGTTAGAGGATGAGTTAATTCACTAATTTATAGAAATCGAATTTAAAAAAAATATAATTATGTGCATTTTATCCGTCTAGCAATTATGCTAAAATAGTTGATTTTCAAATATTAATATGACCTATTTAGATAGAAATTAAAAAAAAAAAAATCTATAGATTAGTAGATTCATCCTTTGTCTTTAATTTGCCATTTAAATTTTTCGAAAAGTTTGTAAAATGAGGTTTCAATCGCGCAACACGTAGGACTGTACAATCACAAATGTTGCGTCCATATAGCGGCACCATCTACCATAATTACAAATTTTGATATTACTTCGGTTTACTTGTATCCAGGCCCATGTTTAGGTGATTTTGTTTTTAGTTATATACTGCGACTAGCTCTTTCCCGTGGCTTTAACCGTCGTTTAATTTCAGCATAGACAATATTCAGCAAAATAGAAGTACGTATTGGTACCTAAGTTATGGATTACCTCTAACGTTGACAACAGTTGTACTATCGTAGTACTGATGTAATGAGCTGTATAACTAGTGATGATACTAAGTTCATTACGTTTTTATTAAAAACACAGAATTTTTTTCACAATTTATTCATTCAAACAAATACTTATTTATTAAAATTAAAACTAATACCTAGATGCTGATGACAGCACGAAAATTGGAAAATTCCATTTTCAGTTACCTACCTACTGGTAAAATGATTGTTTCAGTTTTTCAATTAACAAAAGATATTAGCAAATGAGAAATTAACAAAAGAGAAATGACAAAAAAATTGAAACATTACAAAACACCGGTACATAAAAAAAAAAAACTTGGTCGTAGATCCAGGTAATAATATTACAGGACGCCGAGCGATAATGATATTGCCGCACATGGTACTTACCGTACGCAAAATCATGTGGTATACCTTAGTTACCGCACGGTTGTAGATAATAGATATTTACGATACAAGTGAGTTAACAGCATCATTAAGATACGCGTGTGGAAGTTGCACAACGAGTGCGTAGCACGAGTTGTGTAACCACACAAGTCCATTTACAGTACACAAGTTTTCACTTTTCTTGCCGCAATTTTCCTACCCGCTACCCGCAAGTCATTGAGGACATAAATTGCCAGCTGTTTTACAGTTTGTTTGGCAATATTTGATGGAACTTACTGGTTAAGCAGTGTTTTCCTAGCAACGCACATTTTACGCGGCGTAGAACGTAATACGGCCGACGCAACGCAACATCCAATACGCTGCGTAAAAGTGTTTTCCTAGGATTGTCGATTGTCGGTTGCGTCCGGATCGTCACGATGAGTATATCATTAAGGAAATTAGCTTTGGCTTTATTATTAGGTCTGCTTCTGCAGAAATCACAAACCAGTCAGAGCGAATTTCATTGGTTGAAAACAGTCAGAAAACTAGTTTCATTCAATGAAATTCACTCTGACTGGTTTGTGATTTCTGCAGAAACAGCCCTATCATCGCTATTATTACAAGATTCATTATAGGACTAGAAATTCTGCTAGTCAATTATTTCAAAAAAGAAGAAGAGAAGGAGCATTTAGAATACTTATCCATAAACATCTGCTCGACGACGAAGTAAAATTTGAAAAGCATATTTTAGAGTTACAAGGAAGCAATTCTCATTTCTCCTCGATCTTGTGAGAAAAGATTTAAGTAAGGAATCATATAATCGCGTGCGGCATCCTATTTCGCCACCTGAGTAAAGGTGCTGCAAGAGAACGGCGGCAAAATCACCCATTTTCCCATGTAAATCTCCATAAGAAAATCTAAGGTCCATTCTGCCACTTTTCGGACCGTTTTGGAGTGGGGGTAAAATTTCCTAGAATTAGGCCCCGCCCCCTTTCCAGCGCCCAGGTCTGCATTGTCCGTTCGCACTACCTCAACAGCCGCCGAGGCAGCCACACATACTCGCTACCTGATACTGATGATGCCGTAACTCTCGCTCTCTTGCTCTCATACCTCAACCTCGTACCTCATACCTCTCTCTCTCTCCCGCTCTCATATATAATAGGCCCACGCAGCTACAGCATCACGAAATAGAAATTAAAAAAAAGTTGGTAACCACTGAGAACCGATCTCCCGTCGCCAGCTTGAAAGCCCGCTGCAGCAACCACTAGGCTATTCTAGCAGTTGATAATAAATGGTGAAAAGGAGGAGACAACATGCAATCATGAGGAGCGGTCAGTTACCTCAGAC